TGGGACGTGATTGGATCCATTCGAATTGGTGTGTTCCATCTACTCTCCATCAAAGACTCATTTTTTGGAATGGAGGCAAGACTGAGGTGGTTTATGCTGACAACATACCATTCTTAGCCAATTCCAATATGGTGGAAGCACGGTACTATGATGAAGACGTAGGAACCATCCGTTTCTTTGGCATGGATAGATAAGGAAGACCTCGTGGAATCACTGCTTGCAACAAGCCTACCTTGGCTAAGTATGTGGTTGACGAGGTATGTAATGAACTCTTGCGGCCTGTTGCCATTATTCCATATAGGCTGCAAGAGGAGCCCAAAATTGAGGAGTTATTATGAAGAAATCCAGGATAAACAAAGAAATAAGGGAGGCCGTATCTGAAATTCTAAAAAAATTAGCGGCCTATTTTGCTGAAAGAAATACAAAAGCAAATCTGTCGGAGGTGGTACATGAAGGTGAAGAGGATACCCATACCGACAGAATCACAATGGAGGAGTTAGATTTGGCCCCTGCAAAGCTGGATGACCTCAGGGCTGATGTACAAGATCCATTGAAGGAAGTTAATCTGGGAACGGAGGCAGAGCCACGCATTACTTTTGTCAGTGGCTTGTTGCCGCCAGAGATGCGAGATCAAATAATCTGTTTATTACATGAATTCAAAGATTACTTTGCCTGGGATTATTCTGAGATGCCAGGTTTAGACCGAGAGTTGGTAGAGCATAGACTACCAATCAACAAAGGATATAAGCCGTACAAACAGCCGTCACGCCGTATGTCTCCAGAAGTGATTTTGAAGGTGAAGGAAGAAGTGGAGCGGCTGCATAAAGTTGGTTTTATACGGACAGCCAGGTACTCAGAATGGTTGTCTAATATTGTTCCAGTACTGAAGAAGAATGGAAAGCTCAGAGTCTGCATTGATTTTCAGAACTTAAATCTAGCCACACCAAAGGATGAATACCCCATGCCAGTAGCAGATTTACTTGTTGATGGGGTTGCACGCCATCGCATTTTATCTTTTATGGATGGGCATAGTGGCTATAATCAGATCTTTATTGCAGGGGGAGACATAAGTAAAACGGCGTTTCGTTGCCCTGGAAACATAGGTACGTATGACTGGGTCGTGATGCCGTTTGGGTTGAAAAATGCAGGAGCTACATATCAGCGGGTCATGAATGCAATTTTCCATGATATGATTGGCCGCTTCATGGAGATTTATATCGATGATGTCGTTGTTAAATCCATGGAGGATGAAGAACATTTGGAGCACTTGAGGAAAGCTTTTGAAAGAATGCGACAGCATGGTTTGAAGATGAATCCTCTCAAGTGTGCTTTTGGTGTTATAGCAAGGAATTTTTTGGGTTTTCTGGTCTATGAACGAGGCCTAGAGGTGGACAGAAACAAAGCAAGGGCCGTAATTGAAGCGCGGCCACCACAAAATAAAAAGGAATTACAAAGGTTTCTTGGTCAGGTTAATTTCCTAAGGAGGTTTATCTCTAATTTGGTGAGCAAAACTCATGTCTTTTCACCTCTTTTGAAGTTGCAGCCTGATGCAGATTTTAAATGGGAGAGGCAACACCAAGCCGCCTTTGATGCCATCAAGGAATACTTGTCCAAGCCACCTGTGTTGGTTCCTCCAGTTAAGAATAAACCTTTATTGTTGTATATATCCGCCGCAGATGAGTCAATTGGCTGTCTGCTGGCGCAAGAGAATAATAATAAACAAGAACAAGCTGTTTATTATTTGAGTAGAGCTTTGAATCGGATCGAAGTGAAATATTCTTTGGTTGAGAAATTGTGTTTGGCTTTGTTCTTTGTAGCAATAAAATTGAGGCACTATTTATTGTATTCGGAGGTGTTTGTTGTTTCAAAAACTGATGTCATAAAATACATGCTGTTGCGGCCACTCTTAAGAGGCCGCATTGGTAAGTGGATTCTTGCACTTACTGAATTTAATCTGAGATATTTGCCTCAAAAAGCCGTCAAAGGACAGGCTTTAGCAGACCTTTTAGCAGATCATCCTTGTTTAGATGTTAATGCTGATGAAGACAAGGGAATCAATCTCTTTTCAATTGACTTGGTTCCTTGGAGGCTTATTTTTGATGGGTCTAGCACTGATCAAGCCTCTGGGGTTGGGATTATTATTGTTTCTCTAGATGGCATAAAAACCCAATGGTGTTTTCAGTTGGATTTTGAATGCACCAATAACCAAGCAGAATATGAAGCTTCGGTAATTGGTCTTGAGTTGTTGGTAGAGTTGAAGGTGCCATCGGTTGAAATTATGGGTGATTCTCAATTAGTTCTCAAGCAATTGAGTGGCGAATACAAGTGTACAAGCGTGGTTTTGTCTCCATATTTTGCCACTGCCATCCAACTATTGGAGGAATTTGATGATGTCTCCCTAAAGCATATTCCTCGCAACATGAATATGGAAGCAAATGAACTTGCACAGATTGCTTCAGGTGTAAAAATGCTTGAAGGCATCTTGGAGAAAGTCATCATCATTGAAAAACGTATGCTGCCTTCAATTCATCAAAGAGGAATAACGGTGGAAGCATGCTCACTAGATGTCACACCTACAGACTGGAGGCATCCAATAATAGAACATTTGAGGAATCCTAGTTCTAAAACATCAAGGAGAACGAGGATGCAAGCTTTAAACTATGTGCTACTCGGGGATGTTCTGTATCGTAGGGGGCATGATGAATTATTGTTGCGCTGCCTCAGTCTTGATGAAAGTTGCCATGTGATGTCAGATGTTCATAATGGTATTTGCGGTGCTCATCAGGCAGGGATTAAGATGAGATGGCTAATTTGAAGGCATGGTTTCTTTTGGCCATCTATTCTTAAGGATTGCATTAATTATGCGAAGGGCTGTAGAGCTTGTCAGTTGCATGGTCCTTTGCAGCGAGCGCCAGCTTCTGAGTTTCATCCTATTGTCAAACCATGGCCTTTTCGTGGCTGGGCAATTGATTTGATTGGGAAAATCTATCCACCTTCTTCTAAAGGCCATTCTTTCATAATAGTTGCTACAGACTACTTTACTAAGTGGGTGGAGGCAAGGCCTATGAAGAAGGTTGAGCAAGGAGATGTCATCAAGTTCATAAAAGAGGATCTGATCCACAGGTTTGGTCTCCCAGAAACTATCACTTCTGATCAAGGTACTGCTTTTGTTGGATCTCAAGTAGAGGCCTTTGCAAAAGACATGGGATTTCATTTGCTTAATTCAACTTCGCATTATGCACAAGCAAATGGTCAAGCAAAGGCATCTAATAAGATTATCATCAACATCCTGGAGAAAATGGTTGATGATAATCCTAGGAGATGGCATGAGCTTCTTTTAGATACTCTCTGGGCATACAGAACCTCACAACGAAGTTCAACTAAGGTGACCCCATTCTTGCTTACTTATGGTCATGATGCTGTCTTACCTATGGAATTAACGGCAAGGTCTTTGCGGATTGCAATTCAAAATGGCTTGAATTCTGGGGAATACAATGAGGCCATGATCATGGAGTTGGAAGACCTTGAGGAAGCAAGACTGACGGCATTGGATGTGATGAAGGCCCAGAAGCTTAAAGTGGCACGAGCTTACAATAAAAGGGTCCAGCAAAAGAATTTAGCTGAAGGAAGCTTGGTTTGGAAGGCTGTGCTGCCACTTGGCAAGAAAGATCCTAGATATGGTAAGTGGTCCCCTAATTGGGAAGGACCATTCCAAATTCATAAAGTTCTTAAAGGGGGTGCTTATTGGTTAAAATCTTTGAATGGGGAGTTGCATCCGCGCAAGATCAATGGCATTTACTTGAAACCATATCATCCGACTGTGTGGGAGGCAAGGGATAGTTCTGCTTCCACGTCTGCATGATCCAGGTTTGTAGACATTTGTATATTATTTGATTCAAGTTGTTTTTCTTTCAATAAGGACACGTAGAGTTTGGGCTTGAACCATGGAAGCATACATAAGACTTGGTGCTGCCAAGGAGGCACGGCATGTTCTTACATTTGTGTTTTAGAGCGGCTTCGTTTGCAAAGCCGTGGGCAGCATGAATGAAGCAAGTGAATAATTCATGTTCATCATTAGAGAAAAAAAAAAAAAAACCCTAGCAAAGGTTTTGCATCCAAGTGGCACACTCATCTCTCATTTGCTGCAGTGTGTTGTTGGCTTCCTTTGCCTTCTCCTCTTGTTGTGCAGCCTCACTCTTTGCAGCCAAAGCTTCACGTCCTTCGTCCTTGAGCTCAACTAGTAATTTGCTTCTTTTGGCTTTAAAGGATTTAAGGCTTCCTCCTTGCTATAACTCTTGGGCAAGAAATTGGCTGGCCATGGTTGGAATGGCTTGACAGAGATGATGTCGAAAACTAGAAAAACAAAAAGAGAGAAATGGCCGTAAATCTGTGATGATGGTTATCGGAGGAGTGGCTGTGTTTTATAATGAATTGGAGTCGATCATGTTTCCGAGTCCTAAGTGGTGAAGAATTGCAATTGCATCGCAAAAGTTGCAGTTGGCCACGTTTCCGATTCCAAAATGGAGAAGAAATGTAAACAACAAAAGGAGACAAAGGCACAAAGAAGTTGAGTACTGTCACTAAGGTCCTAAATTTTTGACACCTACTCTCGTAAGGCCAAAAATTGGGGGGCAATGTTTACACCTAATTTTACAACAAATGGAGTGCTGCCACGTGTCACCCATGATGGTAGATATTTTT